CACAAATTGGATCATTTACAGAGCAGTCAGAACTCCAGACTGCTTTTATTTGTGTATTATACTTTGTATTTGGGCCATGAGAAGGCTCATATTCCTCATGATAACCTAATAACTGGATTAATGTTTGTTTAGTTGGTACTCTGGACCTGGTTGGTAATTTCCATCATTTCATCACAAACTGGATCATTTCCAGAGCAGTTTTTGTGTGTTTTTTGTGTGTAATGGAGTCAGAAAGTGAAACCAGGAATCTCCATTCGGTTTATTTACAGTCTCTAGATCTTTTTGTGGGATATGTGCATCTATTAAAGGTACATTTAGTTTGTATTTGACTCATTTGGGAGTTAAACTCTCTCTCATTATAACCCACTAACTGGATTAATGTTTGTTTTGTTGGTACTCTGGACTTGGTTGGTAATTTCCATCATTGCATCATAAATTGGATCATTTACAGAACTTCAGACTGCTTTTATTTATATTTGGACCATGAGAAGGCTCATTTGGGAGTTAAACTAACCCTAACCCTCATGATAACCTAATAACTGGATTAATGTTTGTTTAGTTGGTACTCTGGACCTGGTTGTAATGTTAATTTCCATAATTTCATCACAATCTGTGGATTGGATCATTTACATAGTAGTCAGAACTTCAGACTTCTTTTTTTTGTGTATTATACTTTGTATTTGGCCATGAGAAGGCTCATATCCCTCATTATAACCTAATAACTGGATTAATGTTGGTTTTGTTGGTACTCTGGTTGGTTATTTCCATCATTTCATCACAAACTGCATCATTTCCAGAGCAGTTTTTGTGTGTTTTTTGTGTGTAATGGAGTCAGAAAGTGAAACCAGGAATCTCCATTTGGTTTGTTTACAGTCTCTAGATCTTTTTGTGGGATATGTGCATCTATTAAAGGTACATTTAGTTTGTATTTGGCTCATATGGGAGTTAGACCATCTCTCATTATAACCCAATAACTGGATTAATGTTAGTTTAGTTGGTACTCTGGACCTGGTTGGTAATTTCTATCATTTCATCATAAATTGGATCATTTACAGAACTTCAGACTGCTTTTATTTGTATTTGGACCATGAGAAGGCTCATATGGGAGTTAGACTAACCCTAACCCTCATTATAACCTAATAACTGGATTAATGTTGGTTTTGTTGGTACTCTGGACCTGGTTGTAATTTTAATTTCCATCATTTCACCACAATCTGTGGATTGGATTATTTACAGAGCAGATTTTGTTTGTTTTTGTTTGTTTTTGTGTGTTTTTGTGTGTAATGGAGTCAGAAAGTGAAACCAGGAATCTCCATTCAGTTTGTTTACAGTCTCTTTAGATCTTTTTGTGGGATATGTGAATCTGAAATGCATCAAACCCTGAACACAGAGGGATTTAACCAGGAAAAGGGAGGAGACGTGTTGGGATGAATGCCTGAGGCTAATAATGAGGAATCAGTGCTGCACAAATCTGAAGAATGCTCCACAAATCTGTCTCTATTTGTCCCTGTAATCATAATAAAATAATAAAAGGCATCAGTTCTATGTATTTCAACAGATTATTCCCCCTGTTTCCTAAATAGTGCATCATAAATGCTGCTTTTATCTTGTTTTTAAGTTGTTTTTTTAATACAAAAGACCATAAAAACCTCATCTTACCTCTGATTTTTGATTCAAACTTTCTCTCTTTAACCTCACTAGTCTAACACTCGGATCTTAAATAGATAAACACTAGAACTATGAATAAAATTGAATTGAATTGAAACAAACACTCAAGTTTCTTAAATAGAGCATCAAAAATGCAACTTTTATCTTGTTTTTAAGTCGTTTTTTTCTATAGAAAAGAGCATAAAAACCTCATCTTACCTCTGATTTCTGATTCAAACTTTCTCTCTTTAACCTCACTGGTCTCACACTCGGATCTTAAATAGATAAACACCGAAAATAAACACTCAAGTTTATTAAATGGACCATCATAAATTCTACTTTTATCTTGTTTTTTTAAACAACACACTATAAAAACCTTTGATTTCTATCTTTTTTTTTCATATAAAAGACCATAAAAACCTCATCTTACCTCTGATTTCTGATTCAAACCTTGTCTTTAACCTCACTGGTTTCACACTCAGATCTTTAATAGATAAACACTCAAGTTTCTTAAATAGAGCATCATAAATTCTACTTTTATCTTGTTTTTAAGTTGTTTTTTTAATACAAAAGAGCATAAAAACCTCATCTTACCTCTGATTTCTGATTCAAAACTTTCTTTTTTTAACCTCACTGGTTTCACACTCAGATCTTAAATAGATAAACACTCAAAATAAACACTCAACTTTATTAAATAGAGCATCATAAATGCTACTTTTACCTTGTTTTTTTAAACAACAGACCATAAAAACCTCATCATACCTCTGATTTCTGATTCAAACTTTCTCTCTTTAACCTCACTGGTCTCACACTCAGATCTTTAATAGATAAACGCCGAAAATAAACACTCAAGTTTCTTAAATAGAGCATCATAAATGCTACTTTTATCTTGTTTTTTTAAATAGTGCATCAAAAATGCAACTTTTATCTTGTTTTTAAGTAGTTTTTTTTTTTATACAACAGACCATAAAAACCTCATCTTACCTCTGATTTCTGATTCAAACTTTCTCTTTAACCTCACTAGTCTAACACTCGGATCTTAAATAGACACTCAAGTTTATTTTTATTAAATAGTGCATCAAAAATGCAACTTTTATCTTGTTTTCAAGTTGTTTTTTTATAGAAAAGACCATAGAAACCTCATCATACCTCTGATTTCTGGTCTAACACTTTGATTTTAAGTAGATAATCACTCAAGTTTCTTAAATAGTGCATCATAAATGCTACTTTTATCTTGTTTTTTTAAACAACACACCATAAAAACCTCAGATTTCTGATTCAAACTTTCTTTCTTTAACCTCACTGGTTTCACACTCAGATCTTAAATAGATAAACACTCAAGTTTCTTAAATAGAGCATCATAAATGCTACTTTTATCTTGTTTTTTTATACAAAACACTATAAAAACCTTTGATTTCTATCTTTTTTTTTCATATAAAACACCATAAAAACCTCATCTTACCTCTGATTTTTGATTCAAACTTTCTCTCTTTAACTTCACTAGTCTCACACTCGGATCTTAAATAGATAAACACTAGAACTAGGAATAAAATTGAATTGAATTTAAATAAACACTCAAGTTTCTTAACTTTCTACTTTTATCTTGTTTTTAAGTTGTTTTTTTTGTACAAAACCTCATCTTACCTCTGATTTCTGATTCAAACCTTCTTTCTTTAACCTCACCCTCTGCTCTCTGTCCCCCAACAGGAAGGAAGGAGGTCATGTTCCGGATCCTCAGTCGCCACGGTAACCGCGGGCCGGCCCCCCTGCGGGCGGCGAGCCGCCGCGGGCTCCAGCGCGCCGTCGTGGCCATCCGGCGCGAGGACGTGAACCCCTGGGAGCGCCGGGCGCCGCTCGCCCCCCGACACGTCCGCGAACTCACCCACAACGGGGTCAAAGTGCTGCTGCAGCCCTCCAACCGCAGGGCCATCCACGAGAAGGTGAGGAAACACCTAAAGGGGATAGATTATAGCCTATTTCAACAAGTTAAGCTAGCTCCATCCACGAGAAGGTGAGGAAACTGTATTTAAACCTATTTCAACAAGTTAAGCTGCATTTAAACCTAAAGGAAAGCTAGCTCCATCCACGAAAAGGTGAGGAAACTGTATTTAAACCCATTTCAACAAGTTAAGCTAGCTGCATACACGAGAAGGTGAGGAAACAGGAGAAAACATCACCTAAGTTAAGCAAACATCAACAAGTTAAGCTAGCTCCATCCACGAAAAGGTGAGGAAGCTGCATTTAAACCTAAAGGAGACATGTTATACCCTATTTCAACAAGTTAAGCTAGCTCCATCCACGAAAAGGTCAGGAAATACCTAAAGGGGATAGATTATAGCCTATTTCAACAAGTTAAGATAGCTCCAAACATCACCTAAAGGAGACAGATTATACCTTATTTCAACAAGTTAAGATAGCTCCATCCACGAAAAGGTGAGGAAACACCTAAAGGGGATAGATTATAGCCTATTTCAACAAGTTAAGCTAGCTCCATGCTAGCCATACACGAGAAGGTGAGGGAGGATAGATTATAGCCTAATTCAACAAGTCAAGCTAGCTCCATCCACGAAAAGGTGAGGAAACTGTATTTAAACCTATTTCAACAAGTTAAGATAGCTCCATGCTAGCCATACACGAGAAGGTGAGGAAACACCTAAAGGAGACATGTTATACCCTATTTCAATAAGTTAAGCTAGCTCCATCCACGAAAAGGTGAGGAAACTGTATTTAAACCTATTTCAACAAGTTAAAATAGCTCCAAACATCACCTAAAGGAAACAGATTATACCTTATTTCAACAAGTTAAGGTAGCTCCATGCTAGCCATACACGAGAAGGTGAGGAAACAGGAGAAAACGTCACCTAAAGGAGAGAGGTTATAGCCTATTTCAACAAGTTAAGCTAGTTCCATCCACGAAAAGGTGAGGAAGCTGCATTTAAACCTATTTCAACAAGTTAAGCTAGCTCCATCCACGAGAAGGTGAGGAAGAATAGATTATAGCCTAATTCAACAAGTTAAGCTAGCTCCATCCTATTTCAACAAGTTAAGCTAGCTCCATCCACGAAAAGGTGAGGAAGAATAGATTATAGCCTAATTCAACAAGTTAAGCTAGCTCCATCCTATTTCAACAAGTTAAGCTAGCTCCATCCACGAGAAGGTGAAGAAACTGTATTTAAACCTATTTCAACAAGTTAAGCTAGCTCCATACACGAGAAGGTGAGGAAACAGGAGAAAACATCACCTAAGTTAAGCAAACATCAACAAGTTAAGCTAGCTCTATCCATGAAAAGCTGAGGAAGCACCAGCAAACATCACTTAAAGCTGCATTTAAACCTAAAGGAGACATGTTATACCCTAAAGCTGCATTTAAACCTAAAGGAGATAGATTATACCCTATTTTAACAAGTTAAGCTAGCTCCATCCACGAGAAGGTGAGGGAGGATAGATTATAGCCTATTTCAACAAGTTAAGCTAGCTCCATGCTAGCCATCCACGAGAAGGTGAGGGAACAGGAGAAAACGTCACCTAAAGGAGAGAGGTTATGCCCTATTATAACAAGTTAAGCTAGCTCCATACACGAAAAGGTGAGGGAACACCATTTAAACCTAAAGGAGACATGTTATACCCTATTTCAACAAGTTAAGATAGCTCCATCCTATTTCAACAAGTTAAGAGGGCTCCAAACATCACCTAAAGGGGAAACATTATACCCTAAAGCTGCATTTAAACCTAAAGGAGACATGTTATACCCTATTTCAACAAGTTAAGCTAGCTCCATCCACGAAAAGGTGAGGAAGCTGCAGAAAACATGTTATACCCTATTTCAACAAGTTAAACTAGCTCCATGCTAGCCATACACGAGAAGGTGAGGGAACACCTAAAGGGGATAGATTATACCCCATTTCAACAAGTTAAGCTAGCTCCATCCACGAAAAGGTGAGGAAGAATAGATTATAGCCTATTTCAACAAGTTAAGCTAGCTCCATGCTAGCAATACACGAGAAGGTGAGGGAGGATAGATTATACCCCATTTCAACAAGTTAAGCTAGCTCCATCCACGAGAAGGTGAGGGAGGATAGATTATAGCCTATTTCAACAAGTTAAGCTAGCTCCATGCTAGCCATCCACGAAAAGGTGAGGAAACACCTAAAGGAGACATGTTATACCCTATTTCAACAAGTTAAGCTAACTCCATACACGAAAAGGTGAGGGAGGATAGATTATAGCCTATTTCAACAAGTTAAGCTAGCTCCATCCACGAGAAGGTGAGGGAGGATAGATTATAGCCTAATTCAACAAGTTAAGCTAGCTCCATCCACGAGAAGGTGAGGGAGGATAGATTATACCCTATTTCAACAAGTTAAGCTAGCTCCATGCTAGCCATCCACGAAAAGGTGAGGAAACACCTAAAGGAGACATGTTATACCCTATTTCAACAAGTTAAGCTAGCTCCATCCTATTTCAACAAGTTAAGCTAGCTCCAAACGTCACCTAAAGGAGACAGATTATACCTTATTTCAACAAGTTAAAATAGCTCCATACACGAGAAGGTGAGGGAGGATAGATTATAGCCTAATTCAACAAGTTAAGCTAGCTCCATACACGAAAAGGTGAGGGAACACCATTTAAACCTAAAGGAGACATGTTATACCCTATTTCAACAAGTTAAGCTAGCTCCAAACATCACCTAAAGGAGACAGATTATACCCTATTTCAACAAGTTAAGATGGCTCCATCCACGAAAAGGTGAGGAAACAGGAGAAAACATCACCTAAGTTAAGCAAACATCAACAAGTTAAGCTAGCTTCATACACGAGAAGGTCAGGAAACACCTAAAGGAGACAGATTATACCTTATTTCAACAAGTTAAGCTAGCTCCATGCTAGCCATCCACGAGAAGGTGAGGAAACACCTAAAGGAGACATGTTATACCCTAAAGCTGCATTTAAACCTAAAGGAGACATGTTATACCCTATTTCAACAAGTTAAGCTAGCTCCATCCACGAAAAGGTGAGGAAGCTGCAGAAAACATGTAATACCCTATTTCAACAAGTTAAGCTAGCTCCATGCTAGCCATCCACGAGAAGGTGAGGAAACAGGAGAAAACGTCACCTAAAGGAGAGAGGTTATGCCCTATTATAACAAGTTAAGCTAGCTCCATGCTAGCCATCCACGAGAAGGTGAGGGAGGATAGATTATAGCCTAATTCAACAAGTTAAGCTAGCTCCATCCACGAGAAGGTGAGGAAACACCTAAAGGGGATAGATTATAGCCTATTTCAACAAGTTAAGCTAGCTCCATACACGAGAAGGTGAGGAAACACCTAAAGGGGATAGATTATAGCCTATTTCAACAAGTTAAGCTAGCTCCATACACGAAAAGGTCAGGAAACACCTAAAGGGGATAGATTATAGCCTATTTCAACAAGTTAAGCTAGCTCCGTGCTAGCCATACACGAGAAGGTGAGGGAGGATAGATTATAGCCTAATTCAACAAGTTAAGCTAGCTCCATCCACGAGAAGGTGAGGAAGAATAGATTATACCCTATTTCAACAAGTTAAGCTAGCTCCATGCTAGCCATACACGAAAAGGTGAGGTAACACCTAAAGGGGAAATATTATAGCCTAATTCAACAAGTTAAGCTAGCTCCATCCTATTTTAACAAGTTAAGCTAGCTCCAAACATCACCTAAAGGAGACAGATTATACCCTATTTTAACAAGTTAAGCTAGCTCCAAACATAACCTAAAGGAGACAAGTTATACCCTATTATAACAAGTTAAGCTAGCTCCATCCACGAAAAGGTGAGGAAGAATAGATTATACCCTATTTCAACAAGTTAAGCTGCATTTAAACCTAAAGGAAAGCTAGCTCCATCCACGAGAAGGTGAGGAAGCTGCATTTAAACCTAAAGGAGACATGTTATACCCTATTTCAACAAGTTAAGCTAGCCATCCACGAAAAGGTGAGGAAGCAGCAGCAAACATCACCTAAAGGGGATAGATTATACCCTAATTCAACAAGTTAAGCTAGCTCCATCCACGAAAAGGTGAGGAAGCTGCATTTAAACCTAAAGGAGACATGTTATACCCTATTTTAACAAGTTAAGCTAGCTCCAAACATCACCTAAAGGAGACAGATTATACCCTTTTTTAACAAGTTAAGCTAGCTCCATCCACGAAAAGGTGAGGAAACAGGAGAAAACATCACTTAAAGGGAGCAGGAAGCCGCATTTAAACCCAAAGAAGACATGTTATACCCTATTTCAACAAGTTAAGCTGCATTTAAACCCAAAGAAGACATGTTATACCCTATTTCAACAAGTTAAGCTGCAAGGAGACATATCATACCCTATTTCAACAAGTTAAGCTAGCTCCATCCAAACCTAAAGGAGACATGTTATACCCTATTTCAACAAGTTAACAAGTTAAGCTAGCTTCATCCACGAGAAGGTGAGGAAGCTGCAAAAAACGTCACTTAAAGGAGACAGATTATAGCCTATTTCAACAAGTTAAGCTAGCTCCATTTACAGATGGGTTACAGATGCTAATGCTAATGCTCTGATAACAACTTAATGGTTAGGACACAGACCTGTGGTAATGCTAATGCTAATGCTCGTGTGGGATCAGACTTTAAAAAAAAAATGGATCTGGAGTCTGGATCTGCATCCGAACTAGATATCGGATCGGGACCGGCCTAATCTTAGTACTATTAATTTAAATATTTATTAATATTTTAAGGATCACACTCAAACGTTAGCATCTAGGATAGTGATATAAACATCCATGAATCAGATATAATGCGGTCTGAACGTAGCAGAAGATCTTATCCTGTTCTGGAATCAGCTTTTAATGTCCTCCAGGAACAGACCGATTCCTAGAAATGACCAATATGTCTGTCTGTGTAGAGTTGAGCTTATAATATATATTGTAATAAAGAGTTGTCAGACATAAGGAGACAGCGTTGGATTATCAGAGTCTTTAAGTGGATCCCACCAGCAGATTATTGAGATGACGTCATGCTCTTAAGCTAAAGGCTGCAGCCAACTGTAATAAGTGGGGGATGAAATCTATACAGTGCTTAGCTTAATTTTTAAATATTTTTTTGGAACTTTATTGCCTTAAATGTGGGTTATCGAGCATTTAGCATCATACAGGGAAACAGGAAGAGGAAGGCAAACATAAATGTACAAGTGTGTGTGTATATGTATGTATGTATGTGTGTGTGTGTGTATTTATGGGTGTGTGTGTGTGTATGTGTGTGTACGTGTGTATGTTTGTGTTTGTGTGTGTATGTATGTGTGTATGTATGTATGTATGTATGTATGTATGTATGTATGTATGTATGTATGTATGTATGTATGTATGTATGTATGTATGTATGTATGTATGTATGTATGTATGTATCTGTGTATCTGTGTGTGTGTGTGTGTGTGTGTGT